AGAGAGGGAGAACAGGTACTACTGAGTACGAAGTATCTTACGACGGAAAGACCCAGTCGAAAATTAGAAGCAAAATACGTTGGCCCCTTCAAGATCATAAGGAGAGTGGGGAAAAATGCTTTCGAATTAGATCTACCTCCATCAATGAGAGTGCACAATGTCTTCAATGTCACGTTGTTGGAACCATATCCTAGAGACATGATACCAGGTCGACAGATACAACCCCCACCACCTGTAGTAATAAACGGCCAGGAGGAATTCCATGTGGAAGCAATTGTGGACAGTAGAATTCGACGAGGAAAGGAGGAATTCAAGGTAAAATGGTTAGGATACACAGGGAATGCGGCCTATGACTGGGAACCACGAGAAAATGTAGAAGAGTTGGCCGTTTTTGGTGAATTTCTGGAAAAAAGGAAAAAAGATCCCAGAAGAAAGTGAGAATTCGATCAAAATCAACGGAATTTATTGGGAAATAAATACATACACAGGAAATATGGCTACGTATAGAGAGATATAAAATACACTAGAAGTTGGAGGTGGTAGAATTGGCTCGGGGACGACGGACCGAGGCGGGAATACGAATGACATTGCGGGGGAGAGGAGTATGGGGAGAAGAGGAGGGACCGGCGACTGGTTGAGAAGAAGTCAATCCGGTTGGATCAGCAGCAGAGGTGAGATGATCCAAGGTTTCAGAAGGAGAGGGAGGGGTGTAGTTGGAAGGAATGAGATGAAGAGATTTGTAGAGGCCCAGATGTACTGGGGGAAGAGGAAGAAGGAGAGAGGAAAAGAGGTGAATGTAAGCGGAGAGTTGGGTGAGAGAAGAGGATTGATCCTGGGAGGAAAGGGATCGATATCGGGCCGAGACAGCACAGAGTTCGTGCTCCAGGACGAAGGTAACCTTGGAAGTAACAGTCTGGGCTCCGACAGTAATACCCTTTACATCAACATCGACCAAGTTCGAAGGAAGAAGATAGATACCTCGCGAAATTTGGACTCGGGATTGTTGGTTTTCACCGAACACTTTGAAGTTCCCTTCGCGGAGCACTCTCCACAAACACCACCAACTAAGTTGCATCAATATCGAACAGGAAGAGTAGGAAGACTCACGAGGACCGATACAACCTACACGAAAATCTTCTCCACCATCGAGACGACGCTGGCAATCGGAGCAAAGCTCACCCTCGAGACGGACAACAGCGCCATTCTTGTTACGAAGTCGCCAACCTTGGGCCAAGCGATCAAGCTAACAGTTAGAATTCGGTGGAATACGAAGGAGAAAAAGCTCACGGCGTTACCAAACCACTTGACAGTGGGCTTGATGGCCCCAGTCTCGCGAAAACGATCGAGGGCTTCGTCCTTCAGAGCGTGACGAACAGAGGAGAAAGAAAGGCGGGCCCAGAGGGTAGCTGACGAGTCAGAAACGCACAGAATTCTGTAGAAATCTCACCAATTTCCGAGTCTTTTCGAGCATCCAGAGCCTTAGCAAGTTCATCATTGACCGGAACCTTGCGAGGGGCGTGAAAAATGGTTTCGAGTTCATGGGGAACCTCGACAAGCCCCTCGGAATCAGAAGGTGGCACAGGGGACTTATTACCAGGAGAATTTTGATTTTCAACGATGGTACCGTGTTCGGACTCGACAGATTTCGCAGGAGATGGGTTCTCACCAGTGGTAGATGGCCCTGCCCCCGCTTCGAAGTCGATATATTGCTCGATGACCTCGTCATCGAGAAGAGACGATTGTTGGTCGCGAGAAGGGCCGGATTGATATCGATCCTTAATGGTGTCGAGAGCCCTGCGAGAAGCGTCAACCAATGGAGTTTGAGAGGGAACTGGCGCTTGGGAAGTAATTCTCATTCTTTTCGTTTGACGCATGAGAAGTTCGGGATCGACGTCGGGGAGAATGGCCACAGTAGAGGCCCGAGTTTGACGAGAAGAGATAGACGAGGACAACTAATCTCGTCAGCCAGTGATAAACAGGAGGAAGTGCATCGAATTCGAAGAGAATTGCTTACAGTACGCTTAGACATGCTCACAGACAGGTCAGAGTTGGAAGGATGCTCTAAGATATGAGTGAGATATGGATGGATAATGATAGATAAGTAAAAAGAATGACAAACAAGAGGTAAAGAGAGAATGAGGAGGAAAGAAGAGAAAAAAGACGGGGAGGTAACTTGGTCAGTAATTTCTCGATCACATTGGAGGTCCGTGCGGGTGACGCGTTTTCATGGCAACCGTCACACTAGCGTGGGTATGATGTCAGGGCGCACCAAAGGTGTCTAAGAACAATCCATGTGCATCACCTGGTTACAGGGTTCAGGATCCTCGGCGAGGATCCTTGAGACAGGGGGGGAAACTTGTTACGGGGTAACAACGAATCGAGGGAACTCTATCGAGTTCGACGGATTAGGACAGAGGAAAGCGGGAGTTGGAGGCAGTGCTGCAGTAGGTAGGGACGGGTTTTCCCCTTTCGAGATTTTCCCCACTGGGTTTGCTCAAAGCGGTTTTTCACCTGTCCGAGTATGTACATGGACGCTTGCAGTAGGACTGAGAAGAGGAGACGGATACCTGTAGACAGTATATAGTACAATCAGCAAAGTACCAACTTTGCTGATTCTTCAATATCATTCTTTGGCTACATCGATTGCAGAGGAGACACGATCCATTAGCACCAGAGCCCCTAGACTTCCACGAGACCTCCATCGAGTTCGACCCAACCTGCGACCTAGTCGTCGTGTTTCCAGTACCGTTACATCAAAGAGGATTATTACTGGCCACATTTGGACGATTATATCGCGAAGTACGTAAAAGGATGTGAGATCTGTAATCGACATAAGACTCATCGACATCAGCCATACGGACATCTAGTCTCCTTGCCAGTACCCACACTTCCGTGGACAGATATCTCCATGGACATGGTAGGACCTTTACCGAAATCAACGGAGTTTGACGCAATTCTAGTAATAGTCGATCGACTAACCAAGATGGCTCGATTTATTCCATGTACATCCGGACTAACAGCAAACAAGGTGGCTGACATATACATCAAGGAGATCTTTTCAAAGCATGGAGTACCTCGAACGATCGTATCAGACAGGGGAACTCAGTTTACAGCTGAGATTTGGAAGGAGATATGTCAATTCCTGGGAATAAAAAACCTATATTCAACTGCATATCATCCTCAAACAGACGGACAGACTGAACGAGTAAATCAACAGATGGAAATCCTACTCGGGATGTATGTGAACTACAACATGGACAATTGGGATCAGCTTCTACCGATTGCTGAGTTTGCTTATAACTGCTCTCCACATAGTAGTCATGGTTTGTGTCCATTTTGAAGCCTGTTACGGCTATGTGCCACACTACGACATCCATTCACACAATATTCGATCGAAGTCAAACAAGTTGGAGAAGAAATGGAGAGCTATGGGAGAATTACATGCGGCTGTTCAAGAACAGGTCAGGATGGCTAATGAGATTAGTGGGGAATACTACAACAGGAGGCACAAGAGCATTCCAGAAGAACTCAGAGAGGGAGAACAGGTACTACTGAGTACGAAGTATCTTACGACGGAACGACCCAGTCGAAAATTAGAAGCAAAATACATTGGCCCGTTTAAGATCATAAGGAAGGTTGGAAAAAATGCTTTCGAATTGGATCTACCTCCATCGATGAGAGTGCACTGTCACGGCCGTCGAAACAACTACTTCTTAATAGACCGACGGTCGACGAACCTCGGCTAACTTCACGCTCTGAGTCGATGTCTCACCCAACCAGGAGGGCGCAGACGTCGAAAGGGGTGTAACTACGGCGTACTTCGGCGTAGTTACTCTAACTAGGGTTTTGTTCTACTGATGGCGATGTATCTTGATTTATAGCTATCTCTATCTGTCTTTCACTACTGACAACAATCAAGGATCGCTGAAGAACTTCAGCGATCTTCTCAGCTAATATTATCTACTCCTCCTAGACGTTCATCCAACCCTCTCGCGCTTTGACGTACTTCAACGCACTTCGTCCAACTTCCCCGAGCCCTCGGCCATCCTCTTCCTCCTTCGACTAACTCCGCCTAACATCGCCGCACTTCTGCTCCCATTGTCCCTACTTAGCCTAACTCCGTCTAACTTCGCCGTACTTCTGCTCCCATTGTCCCTACTTAGACTAACTCCGCCTAACATCGCCGCACTTCTGCTCCCATTGTCCCTACTTAGCCTAACTCCGTCTAACTTCGCCGTACTTCTGCTCCCATTGTCCCTACTTAGCCTAACTCCGTCTAACTTCGCCGTACTTCTGCTCCCATTGTTCCTACTTAGCCTAACTCCGTCTAACTTCGCCGTACTTGGTGTCAGAAGTCCTGAGTTACGTGTAGAGTAAAGAGGTTAAGGCGTGATGGGGTTTTGATGGCCAAAGGAGGGTCATTGTTGGTGGAGTAATCGAGGTGTCGCGACGTAGTTCGTGACAGTCGCCCCCTTCTTTAGCCGCGAACGTCCTCGTGAGCGATTACACCTCTGTCGTGTCAAGAGAACTTAGCAGCGTAGTACCCCCATTCTCTCCCTCCCCATGACCATCCTTCACCCTTCTGCTCTTTGCGCCGCACTTCGTAGTTGGGCCTCCTTTCATTCCAAAACCCGACAATGAGACTCCCCTAACTTCGTCGAGGTTTGCCGTAAGAAGCCCTGTGTCTTTTGTAGGTGAGACACGCTTCCTGAATGGCAGCCGAACAACACCGTTGTTTGTCGAAGTAACCCTCGCTTATATTGAGATGAGACACTACAGCGTGGGAATTTTGATCGTCCCTGCGATGCCTTTTGTTGATGAAACGCGAAGTTTGCTGCATGTTGACGACGAGGGTTTAGGTTTGATTATACTAAATACTGAGCAGTTCGTCGAGCTTCTCTCTTTTTCCCATCTGCTTTCAAAACTTTCTATCTCTCTTACCTAGAAAACAGATTTGTTACCTTGAATCATCTTTTATTTCTTTAAGTATTTTTAACGTCATGGCCCCTCCTACTCCCACCTCTAACCCTTTCGCCGCCATGAGGAACTTTGGTGGTATGGTGTCGTCTGCTCGTGAGTTATTCCTCGACACTTACCTTACTTCGCCGGACTTGGCTGATGTTCAGTTTCCTTCGGCGACAGATCTCGCCAAGTCTCCTCCCTCGGCCTCGGCACCCTCTCTTTGGGGGAGCCATCTGGCGATGTCCCGCCTCCTCGCTCCGCTTCTCCTCCCGCCGGTCCTCCCGCTGGTTCTCCCTCTGCTTCTCCTCCTCCTGGTTCTCGCTCTGCTTCCCCTCCTGCCGCCAGCCCTCGCCGCAGGACGCCCGCCTTTCGTCCTGGTGAGTCTCCGTCCTCCTCCGACCAGGAGTCGCTCAGTGGTTCGGAGTCGGACGATCAGTCGGACTTCGAAGGAAAAGGGGGTGATTATAGTGATGAGGATGATAGAATCGTGTCGGAGGGTGAAACCGAGTTAGAGGAACACTCGGATGATGATATGGTGGCGGTTAGTGTAGAGGACAACAACGTAGATAGTCCTGAGCGTGAGTTCTTCGTCCAACCTCTCACACCTTCGCCGAACTTGGCCTTGTTTATCTGTTCTTTAGCTCTCCAAGACATTGCTAACTCGCAGCCGCTCCTGCCCCTCCCCCTGCCCAACTCGCGGGTCAGAAACGACGCCGTTCCCTCTCCTCTTCTTCTTCTTCCTCCTCCTCCTCTTCCGAAGTTCTCCCCCCGCCCGACGCCATTGCCGCTGCCGCCGCCGCCGCCGCCGCTGCTGACGCTCGCCGTGCCGCCACCCTTGCCGCCGCTGCTGCTGCTGCCCGCCGTGCCGCCACCGTCTCCCGCCCTGCCGCCGCCGACACTCGCCCTGTCGCCGCCGAACCCGTCGCGGCTACCCTTCCTTCTCCCAGAGGGGAGCCTTCGCCCAAACGGGTGAAGAGATCACTGCGGGAAGAAGAGTACTTGTGGGAGAAGATGAAGTCCGAGCCTGGTCGTTGGATCGCGGTTGGTGTTGACGAAGCGTGTGATCGTTGCCGGTGAGTCCACCTATTCGTACTACGCCGAAGTTACTCCTGCTAATTAGTAGACGTGAGATTATCACGTATAATCGTCCAAACTGGCCCTGCCTCAAGGCAGTCAGGCCACACAACAAGGCCCTCCGTTGTGCTTCATGCACGTCTGGCCCCTGCTCCTTCTGTCCCATTTCCTCTGCCCGGGACATCCCGCCCCGTCCCTTTGACGCTTCTCCTCTCCCCCCTCCCCAGACTCCAGCGTCTGTCCCCCGTTTGCGGGTACCGTCTTCGTCTCTCCGGTCGGTTCGCCGTACTTCGCCGGACCTCCGCCCGTCGCCTCCGTCGCCGTCGCCCTTCGCTCCTGTGGCCGGCCCATCACGTCTCCCTGCTGTTCCTCCTTCGTCTTCTCGCCGTCCTTCGGCCTCTGCTCCTTCGGCCTCCCGTCCTTCGGCCTCTCGTCCTTCGGCGCCACGTCCGTCCTCTCCAGTGGTAGCTTCTCCTCCGGCTCACAGCACCCGAAGTCGGCATCCTTCTGTTCCTCCGGCCACTTCGGCGGCCCCTCCCGTCACCCCTCCCTCTGCTTCCCAGAAGACACCGAAGTCTTCTTTAAAGAAATCAAAAGGGAAATCTAAAGAGAAGGAGGTTGCCTTCAATGATGGTGATGTGGAAGGTGAAGATACTCAGCGTGCTGGTCCCTCTGCTCCCCGGTTGTCCCTCGTCCACCCTCGTATCTCCCTGGACGTCCGTATTCCTGAGGACGAAAAGGAATTCGCCACTTATCGTTCTCTCCTCCTCGGTCTCACTACTCAGCTCGAGGCCGCCCGAAATGATACATCTCTCCTGCTTGACTTCTCTTCTCGTCAAGCTAACGCTTTAAACAATCTTACTGCGGCGTTAGTAGATGTAGTCAACACTGGGGCTCTGGACGACGAAGCAAGGACGAGGTTAGCGGACGTCTCTCGCCGAAGCCTTACTGAGATAGCCGATGTTCGCCGAAGACTGTTCGACACCCCCTTCCTAGTCACTCCTATGGCGTATGAGCCACCACCGTCCCTTGACTGGTTAGGTCGCCGTAGTAGTTCTCGTGTCCCAGCTTCCGCCCAGACTGCTCTCGACCTCCTCAGTCTTCCCTTCGAGTGTCTACGGACCATACGTTCTCTGTGGAGGACTCCGAGCATGCAAGCTGCTCGAGATGTCCAGGACTTTGGTGACTTCTTCGGGGCTATGAATCGGGCATGGAATGCTTCTCTCTCTACTGCGTTCCCGTCTGAGACTCTCGATCTACCTTCGGTCATCGGTAGCCTCCACACCAATCCCGCGGGACCGAGTAGATCGAAGGAGAAAGGAAAAGGAAAAGGTAAGGGTAAGAGTAAGGACAAGTGAGCGGTACGTAGCTGTAATCCTATGTTGTATGCAGTACGTTCTATCTCCTAGCCCTTCGCAGTCGCCCTTCCTTCGGCTTAGTAGGGTGAAGTTCGTGGAACTTCGCCAATATGTCGTCAGCTCCATCGACGTTCTCCACTGGTTCCCATGATACTGAGTCGTCTGTTCCTTCGTAACCTAACCACTCTACCAAGTACTCTAACTTTCCTGATCTCTTATTTACTCTAGAGTCTACAATGTCTTTTACCTCCCACGATTCCCCTACATTATCTACCTCTACTGGGCCAGGTGGTTCAGCTTGCTGACCAGGGAATACTGGAGGATGATAAGGACGGAGCAAGGAGACATGGAATACGTCATGGATACCTGCCATCGTTCCTGGTAGTTCCAATTTACAAGCATGAGAACCCACCTGCCGTACTACTTTGTACGGCCCACTTTGCTTAACATCTAACTTCTTCATTGGTCTCTTCGTCTTAATATTCTCTAACGACAGCATCACTAGGTCTCCTTCCACGAAGTTCGGCGTAGCCCGGTGTTTCCTATTGTATCCTTCGGCGTACCTCTCATTAGCTTTCTCAATTCCTTCGATACAATCCTTGTGTATTTCAGTCAAGTCTTTTACCACCACCGTAGCAGCGGGTACTTCGACTTCACTGGCCTTGATCTCTTCCGCCCACCGAGGATGATATCCATAGTTCGCATAAAATGGTGTCTTATTTATCGCGGAATGGTGGGTGTTATTGTAGGCGAAACTAGCTCGAGCTAGTAGCTTCGACCAATCGTTCTGCTGATAAGAAGTGAAGATTCTAAGGTATAGTTCCAAGGACTGATTGGTTCGTTCGGTCTGCCCATCAGTCTGTGGATGGTACGCAGTAGAAAGATGTAGTCTTATCCCGAGACTATCGGTCAAGTTCTTCCAAAACTTCGAGGTAAACTTCGATCCCCTGTCCGATACTATGTTCTCCGGTAATCCATGCTGAGCCACCACATAGTCCATTATCAACTCTGATAGGCCAGCTGCGGTTAACTTCGTCGTAGTTGGGATAAAGATGGCCCATTTGGTCAACCGGTCCACTACTACTAAGATGGAATTGTATCCATGGGAATTAGGGAGCTCTTCAATGAAATCCATCGAAATACTGGACCATGGCTTCGTAGCCACCTCCAGTGGTTTAAGCTCTCCATGGGGTCTCTGTCTGTTAGTCTTTGCTCTCTGACATACCGCGCATCCAGCGATGTAATCTTCGACATCCTTTCTTACTCCCACCCAAACGTAGTCCCGTAGGACTAGCTCGAGAGTCTTCGCTGAGCCTGGGTGACCAGCTAGAACCGAGTCATGTCGCATCTTCATGATCTTTAGTCGAGCATCGGCGTAGTCTGGCACATAAGTACGACCATCGAACGTAAGGAACCCCCTTGAATTCCATCCCCCACGAAGTATTAAGGGAGACCGCGAGGTACGGCGTAGTTCGGTGACCGACTCTGGTTCCTGCACATTATCGTGACATGTCAGATGAGAGCACTTAGCACAGGTTACCCCCAGTAATTCTTCTCTAACCTCCTCCACCTCTTCGTCTTCCTGTATTCCAACTATCAAATCCATAGGATCAATGAGGTCGTTTTCTCGTACTTCCTTTGTACCCTGTAAGGCTCGAAGTAGGTGTTGTAACCCAGAGCTAGTGTCGTCAAGTTCGTCGAACTTCGGCAATCCTTGAATAAGATTGCTCTCCTGCATCATAGTACTTCCTTTTCCTGAGTGGTAGTCTGCTCTTCTCGACAGTCCGTCCGGCAGTGTAGCTTGTTTTCCCGGTCGATACACCATCTTAAACCTGAAGTTAGAGAGCTCTTCGACCCACCTACCCTGCCTGGGGCTAAGCTGCTTGGGCTCCATCCAGTAAGTTAAATTTAAATGATCTGTGAGAACTGTAGTCTCTACCTGTAGTAGTAAGTGTCTCCTTCTCCTGAAAGCTTCAACAATAGCGAGTAGCTCCTTTTCCCCTACCGTATAGTTTAACTGCGCCGCCTGGAACGCTCCGGATTCGATGGCCACCGGATGCTCTTGTCCTAACTCGTTCACCTGCGAAATTATGAAACCCCAGCCGAAGAACGATGCATCCGTTTGTAGTAGTGTCTTCAACGAAGGATCAAAGTGAGCCAATACCGGGGCCTTACACATTCTATCCTTCAATTCCTTAAAGGCTCTTTCCTGTTCTACTCCCCAAACAAACGGTACATCCTTCCTGGTGAGATCATTGATCGGTTTAGCAATCCTGGAGAAGTTGGGGACAAAGCGCCGATAATAACTGACAACTCCCATAAATCCTCTACTCTCTCGCAAGTTCTTAGGACGAGGAAAAGATACAACAGCATCGATGTACTCCGGGTTACTGGAAATTCCCCTCTGTGAGACCACGAACCCCAGGAAGACTACCGAATCTCTCTCAAACTCGCACTTACTAGCTTTAACGAACAAATTCGACCTCCGAAGCACTTCAAACACCTTCGCCGTAGTTCCCCTCAGTTCTTCCAACGTTTGACCATAGATGAGTATATCATCTATGTAGACTACTACTCCTTTTCCCAACAGTTCTCGAAAACTTTCATTCAAGAAGTGCTGAAATACAGCAGGAGCATTTCGTAGACCATCTCGGACAACAAGAGACTCGAACATACCGTACTGAGTCCTGAACGCTGTTAGGTGTTCGTGTCCTTCTTTTACTCGCAGGAGTTGATAAGCCCCAATTAGATCTAACTTGCTGAAATACCTCGCTCTTCCCAGCTCTTCGGTTATCTGGCCGATCAGAGGCAGTGGATAGGCGTCGGGTATCGTTGCCTCGTTCAACTTTTGGTAATCAATGACCATTCGCCATTGACCTTTTGCTTTCTTCGGTACCAAGAACATCGGTGATCCGTAGGGCGAATTACTGGGTCGAATTCTTCCGGCCGATATTTCGCGATCTAGGATGTCCCTCAGCGCACTTCTCTGATCTTCTCCAAGCGAGTAGAGTGGAGCAACCTTCAGGTTCGCCCCCTCCTTAAGATCAAACTCCAGATCATAGCCCCTCGAGGGAGGTAATTCTTCACCTCCCTTCCTTGGGTTAAAAACATCAATGAACGAGTGGTATTGTTCAGGAACCACCTGATACAATTCCTCCTGTTCCTCCGGACTCAGTTCATCCTGGTCATCTTTGTCTCGGAGATCTATCGCGTCCGTCGGAGTCGGCAGCCCTATGGCCGCTAACTTCGCCGCACTTGGTGGGGTTGGGATGGGAAATTTCACCGAGTTGTCTCTTCCATCAAGGACAACCCCTTCCTTCCTCATCCAATCCCACCCTATCACAACATCTGCGTCGCAGAGCGTTGTTACATCGAGACAAACAGATCGCAGTTCGGCGTCCTTCGTCAAACTAAATCCGACTTCGACAAACTCGGTGATGGGTCCAGCGACACTCACCGAGCCGTCGAACATGTGAACGGGTACGCTCACCTGATATCGCCTCTTTTCTACACCTATCTTCACTGCTGCCCTAGGGCTTATATATGAACAAGTAGCTCCAGTGTCCCAGAGCGTAGTTAGCTTTATTCCATTAATGAAAATGTCCGATTTAGGTTGATCTCTGGAAACGGAAGGGATGAGGAGAT